CTTTCCCTCATCTGTAAACAGAGCCGACCAGGGCGCCCGCGTGCCACCTCTGCCGTGGGGTTTAGCAGCCAGAGCAAAGATTCTAGTCCAGGTACGCCTGCCAGAGTCTCAGAAAGTCTCATGAGACAGTCCCAACTCCCTCCCCCAAAGAAAATAATTCTTCTCCTGTGTCAGGAGTGGCAAGTAAGTTGACATTGCCATATGGTAACCGAGTCCGAAGGAGAGAGGATGAGCCTCAGCCGTGACCTCTCAGACCGCCCCCTCTCCTCAGGCTTTTTCTCTAGTAACATCCTCACAGCGAGGCCGGTGGGCACGCTGCCTTTGGCATCCCAGGTAACGGGGGCTTCAAGATATGTGAGGCACCAGTTTCATCGACTTTCCATGAAGGAGCGCATGTTCTTTGTTCTAATTTATTCACTGGTGAAGCTCATCATAGTTTTACTCTTTGGGGCAGAGGTACCACCGTATTTCCAGGGTTTGCACTGGTTTGGGGCTTCCTTCTCTTCTGGACTGGGAGGAGGATTGGAGTATTGACCCGCCCGTAAGGCCCTGTGTCCACCCGTCCACATGAGAGCAGGGGAAGCTTGCTTCTGAGCTTGATATGGAGCCTCCATGGAGGTTTTAACACAGCTTCTCTGTGCCTCAGGGTCCCCCAGAGCCAGGCTCCTCCCTTCCACAGCCTTGCTGAAATCACTTCTTGGGATTTGGGTCCTAGCACCTATTTCCCTAAGAATCTGCAGACAGAGATCATTAGTTCTCTCAAATTGAGAAGGTCTCTCATTGCTGTTTTCATCTGCATTTTTTGAGGTTAAACCTTTTCATTCATCTATTGACTCCTGGTGTTTTCTTCTTTTATGAATTGTCTACTTACCTTTTTAATGAAACACTCAGAATTATTTATTGGAGCAAGGGTCACATATAAATAATTCAAGAGGTTTTTTGTGAAGGGTTAGTCTCCTTTCCCATCCTAGTCCCACGGCTCCTACCCCCAGAAGTAATCACTGTTACCCACTTTCTGAGGTCTTCTTTCAGCCATTCAATGCGTTCATAAGTAACCGGTAGTTTAATATGAACATAGACCCAGTTCTTTGCTCCTAGCAGGGTATCTCGTTAGTAACTTCCTCATTTTTTCTGTTGTCTGTATGTCCTGTGGTGCATTTAGACCATCCCCTGGTGCTGGACGTTTAGGGCTGGCTGTTTCCAGTTATTTCCTCTAAAACCACAATCGTACAGGGAATGGTCTTGAATATACTTCTTTGTGAATTTGTCCATCTGTAGGATAAATTCTAGAAGGTAGAATTACAGAGTCAGAGGGTATGGGCATGTGTTCTTTGGATGGCTGCAGATTGTATGGTATGGGCATAATTTGTATGGGAAAATTGTGTCTCTGATATTCATGAAAATGTAAAAGTATTTTCTATCCTCTAGCCTGGTGTTGCAACTTGCTACTCCGTTTGTTATAAATGTGGAGCCAGCAATCACCCATCTGCACGATTCTGTGGCTCCTGTGGTATTTACGTGAAGTCCTTGGCAAGACCTAGTGTGGAGAACAGCTTGGCTCCAGCTGCTGGAGAACCTGGCCCTTTTGCTGAGGTGAGGCCTCCATGGTAGTAAGAACTGGACCCAGGAAGGGGTTGTGACTCTGAATTTGTGTTCTCGATCCTGTGAGCCAACCCAGGGGAAGAGAGCCGAAACACTTAGACCTTTCTCACGGACTTTCGACTGGGTGTGTAAATAACTTCAACCACGTTATGTTTTAAACACTCGAGTGATTTCTTCAGAATTCAAAGATGTAAATATGCATTGATCTGTAGTAAATCGAGGTCTAACTGCGTGTGCAAGGTAATAGATATAATGTCATTAGGGAGCTTTAAAATACATGGGATAGAATGTACTCTTGTCTCATGAATTTCTTACGTAGCACGCCAAGAACTTTCCCCCTGCTCTTTTATATTTTAGAAAACTTATAATGGGTTCGTAAAATTGCTTTCGCCACTTATAACAACTGGGCATATTTGAGGAAAATATCACAAGGTTATTTTCAGAAGGACTTAATCTGTAACCAGCTTTGTGTTAGACTTTTATGAATTTGTCTAAGCTACAGAAAGACTTTTCGGGTTTCTTCTCTTCTTTAGATTCTTCAAATCTCTTCATTAGAAGAATTTGAAGCTTGATGATTGTTAGAGAGAATGCGCGTGCACTTAGCAACTTTGCATTTCATTTTTAGGGAGTTCACGGTTTCTTAACCCAAATGAAAACACTTGCAGATCCCGGGACTGCCAATAACAGAGGTGGCACCTTTGTGCAAATGAGACATGGTGTTTTTTTTTCTCAAGACAATTGACTGCCATCTGTTGGAAATTGATTGTAATTTACTAATTTTGTTAGACATTTTATTTTACCATAAAAATTGTCCTAATAAATATGCAAACATACAATGTTCACTATGTGAATATTACCCCTTTAGATGCAATGCCTTTGTGCAGTGTGCAGAAGATTATACATATCCTGCGTACATATCCTTGCATGGTGGTCCTCTCAGGTCCCCAGGCCCAGATACAGGAGAGTGTCTCAGAGAAAATGTTGGTGCCCAGTAGTCGAGAGTGGATGGGTAGTAAAGTCTATGCTCCTCTGGATTGTAGAGCTGAGAGGATAGATTTCCAGACCTCAGGTGGCAGGACAGGGAGCATCAGTTGATTTGCCGAATTTGAGACAGTCAGTGGACAAGGGGTGGAGCTGGCTTCAGGGCTCAGGCTGGGAGTTGCTGGGAAAAACAAGCAAAGAAGGTGAGGCAAGGCCTGAAAACCCCTTTTAGTTCAAAGTACAGTGTTTTGGAGATACTTTTACTCCTGACTAGAATTGTTTTCTGTGATAAAATGGAGAATTAATTAATTAATATTTTATATATATATATATATATATTTATGTTTTCTGCCTTGCTCATACAGCCTCGATCTGCCTGGCAGCCCCTAACTATTCCTTTTCCCAAGCCTGATGCTGGGCCTAAGAAGGATGTGGGCACACAGACCACGGGCCTGTTCTACCCGTCTGGGACCCTCCTGGCAAAAAAAGAACTGGAAATGGCTTCTCAGAAGCAGAGGCAGGAGAAAATGAGTGACCATAAACCTCTCCTCACAGCCGTCAGCCCAGGGAGAGGTGAGACACACACTCCTCTCAGAAGGGAACCCACTCCTTCCCTGGAAGAAAATTACGTCTTTTATCTTCTTTTCGATTCATTTTTATGTACAAGAAGTGCCTTTATTTTTCTTTTTTCAAGTACTTTTGCTTTGTATAATAATAGCACTTCCTTAAACCTTTAGCATGTTTTGACTCTTAGCTCCGTTGTCGCGTTGGTAAATGAAGTCGCACATAAGAACGTGTGCTACTAACACAGAAATGTGCTTAGTCTGTGTCGTCACTGCTGGCTGCCATAATCTCTTTCTCTATTGTGGCAAATTCACATGACTTAAAATTCACCATCTTAACCATTTTAAAGGGTACAATTCAGTGGCATTTAGTACATGAGCAGTACAGCCATCACCACTGCATTTCTAGAACCTTTTCATCCCCCCAGAAGTAAACCCTGTACATCTCCCTCCCAAGGGTGTAACGATCACTCATCTACTTTCTGTCTTTAAGGATTTGCTTATTCTGGACATATAAGTGGAAGCATGTAACATGGTCTTTTGTGACCGGCTTCTTTCACTTAGTATATGATGTTTTCAAGTTTTGTCCATGTAACATGTTTTCAGTACCTCATTCTTCTTTTTTAATGGCTCAGTGATATTCTATTGTGTGGATATATGACATTTGTTTGTATGTTCACCAGTAATAGACGTTTGAGTTGTGTCCAGCTTTGTGTGTGTGTGTGTGTGTGTGTGAACAGGTTTGACTGTTAAGAATAATGGTGCTCTGAACATTCACGTAGAAATTTTTCTGTGGCATATGTTTTCATTTCTCTTGGGTATGTACATAGGAGTGCAATTTCTGGGTCAAATGGTAACATGTTTAACTTTCTGAGGAACTTCTGGACGGTTTTCCAACGTGGCTGCACTATTCTACATTCTGACTGGCAGTGTATGAGGGTACCGATTTTTCCACATCTTTATCAGCACTTGTTATTATTTGACATTTTCATTACAAGCATCCTAGTGGGTGTGGAGCAGTGTCTCATTATGGATTTTTTTGTTTGTTTGTTTGTTTGTTTGTTTGTTTGCGGTACGCGGGCCTCTCACTGTTGCGGCCTCTCCCGTTGCGGAGCACAGGCTCCGGATGCGCAGGCTCAGCGGCCATGGCTCACGGGCCCAGCTGCTCCGCGGCATGTGGGATCTTCCCGGACCGGGGCACGAACCCGTGTCCCCTGCATCGGCAGGCGGACTCTCAACCACTGCGCCACCAGGGAAGCCCTCATTATGGTTTTGATCAGCGTTTCCCTGATGACTAATGATGCTGAGCATCATTTCATCTGAGTTACCTGATTTATTAGCATCCAGTTGTCCATAGCATCCCTTTATAATCCTTTTTATTTCAGTAAGGTTGGTGGTAATATCCCCTATTTAATTCCTGATTCTAGCAATTTGATTCACTTCTCTTTTTCTTGGTGAGTCTAGATAAAGATTTGCCAATTTTGCTGATCTCTTCAAGAACCAACTTTGGGTTTTGTTGATTTTTTGTATTGCTTTTCTGTTCTGTCTTTCATTAATTTCCACTCTAATCTTCATGACTTCCTTATTCTTGCTTTAGGTGGAGTTTGCTCTTTTTCTAGTTTCTCAAGGTCAAAGGTTCAGGTCTTTTTTTTTTTTTAGGTGAAATTATTTATTTATTTATTTTTTGGAGTTCAGGTCTTGATTTGAGACCTTTCTTCTTTTTTAATGTAGGCATTTACAACTATAAATTTCCCTGTGAGTGCTGCTTTCACTGCATCCCATAAGTTTTGGTGTTGTATCTTCATTTTCTTTCAACAGTGAATTTTCTAGTTTCCCCTGTGGTTTCTTCTTTGACCCACTGGTTATTTAAGAATTATTTAATTTCCAAATATTTGTGAGTCCCCCAAATTTCTGTCTGTTATTGATATCTAGTTTCATTCTATTGTGATCAGAAACATACTTTATATGATTTTAACCCTTTTAAATTTATTGAGACTTGACATGGCCTAACATATGATCTATCTTGGAGAATCCACTGAGAGAATGTGCCCTTGAGAAGAATATATATTCTCTTGGGGGTGGAATATTCTGTAGATGTCCATTAGGTCCTGCTAGTTTAGAGTGCTGTTCAAGTGTTCTATTTCTTGCTGACCTTCTGCCTAGTTGTTCTATCCATTTTGAAAATAGGGTATTAAAGTGTCCAACCATTGTTGCTGAGTTGTCTATTTCTCCCATCATTTCCCTCAGTTTTTGCTTCATGTATTTTGGTTATCTGTTATTAGGTACATACTTAACAATTGTTTATAATTGTCATACCTTCATGATACCCTTTTTCATTATAAAACGTCCCTATTTTTATCTAGTAACATTTTATTTGGTCTTAAAATCTATTTTGTCTGGTATTAGTATAGCCAGTCCAGCTTTCTTGTGGTTGCTGTTTGCATGATATATATATTTCCATATTTTTTACTTTTAATCTGTTTGTATCTTTGAATCTAAAGTGTCTAAAATCTCTGTTTTTTGATTGGGTTGTTAAATTCATTCACATTTAATGTTATTGATAAAGTTGGATTTGTGTCTTCCATTTTACTCATTCTTTTCTAAATGTTTGCATCATTTTGTTCCTGTATTCCTCCTTTACTGCTTGCTTTTGTGTTGCGTATTTTCTAATGTAAGATTTGAATGTTTAATGGGGTTTTTCCCCTATATATTGGGTTGGCCAAAAAGTTCGTTCAGGTTTTTCCATACCAGCTTATTCCCTTAGTTGTTGCTCTGGGGCTTACATTATACATCTGTTTTTTTAAAATTTTTATTTATTTTATTTTTGGCTGTGTTGGGTCTTTGTTGCTGCATGGGCTTTCTCTAGTTGTGGCAAGCAGGGGCTACTCTTCATTGTGGTGTGTCGGCTTCTCATCGTGGTAGCTTCTCTTGTTGCAGAGCACAGGCTCTAGGTGCGTGGGCTTCAGTAGTTGTGGCATGCAGCCTCAGTAGTTGTGGCTCACGGGCTCTAGAGCCCAGGCTCAGTAGTTGTGGCACACAGGCTTTGTTGCTCCTCGGCATGTGGGACCTTCCCAGACCAGGGCTTGAACCTGTGTCCCCTGCATTAGCAGGCAGATTCTTAACCACTGCACCACCAGGGAAGCCCCTTACCTTACACATCTTATCAGAATATGTTTCAGATTTATAGTAATTTAATTCCAGTGTGACACAGAAATGCTACTCCTATATAGCTCTGTTCTTTCTTCCTGGTTTTATAGGTATATATAACAACAATGCTTACATATATATATTACATCTATATATGTTGCAAACCCAACAAAACACTGTTATATTTATTACTTTATATAACCTTAATGTATTTTAAAAATGCTGAAAGAACTACATTTGACCCTTGAACAACATGGGTTTGAACAGTGTGGGTCTGTTTATATGTGGATTTTTTGTTTTCACTGTATGCTTACTTCAGTACTACATGATCCACAGTTGGTTGCGTGCACGGATGTGGGACCATGGATACGGAGGGCCAACTCTAAAGTTATATACAGATTTTCAACTGCATGGGGGGTTGGTGCCCATAACCCCTGTGTTGTTCAAGGGTCAACTTTATTATATATTTATGGCTTTTGTTATATTAGCCTCCTTTCTTCCCATTTCTAGTTGTCTTTGTTTACTCCTGTGGATTTGAGTTACCATCTGGAGCCATTTCCTTAGCCCAATCAAGCTTTGCTCCTGTCCACTTCTTTTGTGCTGTTACTGGCCAAGATATTATATTTCTATATGTTATAGGACAAATACTACACCTATATACATATTATTTTATGCAATATATTATTATATTTGTTAGGAGAAGAAAAGAAATAGGCATTTATAATGTCTTTTATAGTTACATGGTTACTTTATCAGTGCTCTTTGTTTTTTTGTGTGTATGGATTCACATTACTGTCTGGAGTCATTTGCTTTGAGCCTGAAGAACTTTCTTTAGTGTTTCTTATAGGGTGGTCTGATAGCAATGACTTCCCTCAGTTTTTTAGTGTCTGGTGATGTCTTCATTTTGCCTTCATTTTTGAAAGATAACTTCTGGGAATAGGATTCTTGGTTGACAGGTTTTTTTTTTCTTTTGAGCGCTTTGAATATGATATCCCACTGTCTTCTGGCCTCCATGATTTCTGGTGAGAAATCTGCTGTTAATCTCTTGCAGATCCCTTGTATGTGATGAGTCACTTCTCTCCTGCTGCTCTCAAGATTCTCTGTTTTTGTCTCTTAAAAGTGGGTCTTTTGGTGTGGACCCTACTTGGAATTTGTTGAGCTGCTTGGATGTGTAAATTCACGCCTTTCATCAAATTTGGGAAGTTTGGGGCCATTGTTTCTTCAAATATTTTTTCTGCATTTTGCTCTGTCCCCTCTTCTGGGATTCTCATTATGCATATGTTGGTATGCTTGATAGTTTCCTGCAGGTTTCTTAGGCTCTGTTCATTTTTCTTCATTCTTTTTTTCTCTCTGTTTTTTGCATTGCATAATATCTGTTGATCTGTTTCTGAATTTGCTAATTCTTTCTTTTGTCAGCTCAAGTTAACTTCTGAGTCTCTCTAGTGAATTTTTAATTTCAATCATTATGCTTTTCTGCTACACAATTATCTATTTGGTTCTCTTTATATGTAATTTCTATGTATTTATTGATATTCTGTATTTCATGAGGCACCTTCTTTTACTTCTTCATGCATTGTTTCTTTTAGTTCTTTGGATATATTTACAATGGATGCTTTGAAATCTTTGTTAAATCTCCAACATGTGACCTCTCTCACAGTTTCTGTTGCCTGTTTTTTTTCCTGTGTATGAATCACAGTTTCTTGTTTCTTTGCATTCTTTTTTTGTCTCTTAATTCTTTTTTGTTTTTTGGAACCTGGACATTTAAAATAACATATTGTAGCAACTCTGGGTACTGACCTCACCTCCAGGCTTGTTACTGTTATTTGCTTGTCTGTTTGTTTAGTGACCAGCTGGACCAGGTTC